AAAACTGTATATATAAAAAACTTATTTTTTGCTATTAACATGTATTTTTCCTATTTTAAAAATTATTTGTATTTTTTTTAACATTTATTTTTGAGGGAGAGAGACAGAACACGAGCAGGGGAGGGGCAGAGAGAGAGGGAGACACAGAATCCGAAGCAGGCTCGAGGCTCTGAGCTGGAAGCACAGAGCCCAACATGGGGCTCACACCCATAAAATGCAAGATCATGACCTGTGCCGAAATCAGTGAGTCACCCAAGTGAGTCACCCAGGCACTCCTAAAATTTATTTTTAAATGGCTTTTCTATCAATGCTACTTCAATGTTTAAATTGATAAATCATAAGGCATATATTCACTTCAAAATAATGTATGTTAAATTGTCAAAAGAATAAGTCATTGATGTTCTCGAACAAGCAAATATTTCCTAAGTCATTAAAATGAACAGTCACAGAAAACTTAGTGCATTTACTGTGGATTCTTTAATGAGCACCATTCTAGAGTCTGCACCATTCCTAGACTAGATGTTATAAGGAATAAGGTAGAAGACAGAATGCCTTCAAAAGAGATAGCAGACAAGGCAAAAAATACAGTAATGAGACAAGCAAACAATGGTTAATAATACATTAAAAAGTGTTAAATGGTTTTTAATGTCTAATCTGACAGACTCACCAAAAGGCAGCTCAAATCTTGTATCAAGCAAAATCTTATGAGGAGTTGGGTTTTTAGTTCCACATATCTCATCATCTTTCATCAGTGTCTCTGCCTCCAACGTGGACCACTCTCCAGGCCCTTCCTAGAAAACAGAGATCTGAGATTAAACTTTACTCCTTTCATGGCTCTCCTCCTCCTGGTTTAAGAGCTGGTGTTTTCTCTAAATTTCCTTGTTGGAGAGCTCCTGAGGACCACTCACATCCTGATGAGGCAAACACACCACCGTCACAACCTGCCTCTGCTGCATGTGGCTGCCATTCTCCTTCTTTGGTGGAAGCTTTCACTGTGCTCAGCTCTCTGCAAGCCCACTGCAGATAGAAGTCCAGAGTACCACACTCAAAAACCAAACTTATCCATAGATCATTATTTAATCTGCACAATTTTTAATGAGTGTATCACTTAAAATGTGTTACCACTTCTAATCAGTAGAGAGCTACTCACATTGCTAGTTAAAGTAGACCTGAACTGGGGCCACAATAAAAATGAACTTCTAGTCTGCCTGGGGAAGTAGAGACTTAGCCAGAACTAAAAGAATTTAGGAAAGAGAGGCATACCTGTATTATCCCTACTCCCAGAGAAAACATTGTCAAGGTTAAAGCTAAACAGGAATACAATACATATTCTCCTAGGTTCAAAGTGAGTGTGTCTATGGAGAAATGAGGTAGAAAACTAGTCTTGGAAATAACGTATAGAGACAGTATGAATGAAAATTGCCACGCATGGTAATTCCTTAAACTCTTTTACATGTGGAAGATGGACGACTGAAATCAGTTCCCTGGGAACCAGTGACTTAAAGAATTAAAGCAGAGTTCAGGACCCAGGCTCAGGAAGTTTAATGAGACTGATCCCAGGACAGTGCTCACCAATTAGAAGGCTGGGGGGGGG